TTCGTCTTGCAAACGAGGCGTGAGCTGAAAAGCTAGGGAGCACTAGACAGCCGTTTAGATTGGGTTGGGTCTCATCATCAGTGCGAATCTATTGACCCAACTGGGGCTTGAACCCAGGACCTCACAGATAGTACGCAAGCATACTACCCACTCGGCCATCGGGCAATCGATCAAACCGTTTTTTTTCATTTTCAATTTACACAATACAGCACAACTTGTATATGCGGTCCCGGGTTTGATCCCCAGTTGGGACGATGGATTCGTAATGCCCATGAGACCCAACCAAGTCGAAACAGCTATCCAGTGCTCCCTAGCATTTCAGCTCACGCCTCATTTCCCCGACGAGTTCATCATATAAACATCCAATATTTATTATGTCCGATTTGAATAGCGAATAGCTGTTTACTATTTCGGCTTATTTCACAAACTGTACTCATGCTTGCTTGGCATAAGGTGGTCAGGTAAGAACTGATACGCCTACACACACACCCATGCATGGGGGAGCATCTTATCATAAATTGATTACGTGATCATCTGACAATCACAAACGTACCATATACTCCGCAGTTATGTTTCTAAATATTTCAACACGAGCAAAATAAACTTCAAGTCTAGAGAATAGCATAAAACAGGTCGAACTTCAAAATTGGCTAATTTAAGCTTACTGAAAACGGAGGGATGAAGGATTTATTGTGATTATAACAATCTATTTCGTCATCCCAAACAGAGCAACAAAAATTTAAACCGCGTCGTTCACACTGACGGTTTCGCACTGCTAATGCGAGTCGACCAGTTTGAAGCAGTTGGACCATGAGTGATTCGTAAGGACCACACTTTCGTTACCCTCTCTCTCTCTCTCTCGTGTTTTACAACGACGAGGAAATTCTTCCGCTGAGTCTAAATTGCAAACTTCTTACGGTGGAGCCGAAAGTAAACTTCCATTGGAAATAAAGATATTTTTGTCGCAAAGTCTCGATTATGGAAATATTTTACAGATCGGTATTAGTGCGATGTTGTGAAATGGACGAATGTGTGCAGGAGAAAAACTCATTGAATCTCAACCATATATGCATCAGGTACACACACTGCTCTGGAGAGGGTCCAGAAAAATTTCAAACGACGTCCAGGTTATGACATCCCGTTGTAAAGATTTTCTCGAAATAGAAAGGTATCTTGCACTGCAGACATGGTATCCGCCTAATTCACATGACTTTGTAATACCATACGGAATTTCGATCAAACGTACTACCTAATTAGGACTGGCCAATTTAGAAATATCAAACAGGAGACGGTTGGTTGGCCTAATAATCGAGAACATTTGCAAACAGACAATTCCTGGACCAGGGTGAACAATAGTGATCCACGGGTGTTTCGCGGAACAAAACTATGGTTTTGGTGAATCTTTTTACGCAATTCCGAAAGGAAAGAATCGGACAAAATTTGAAAGTAGAAAAAATTACATGCTGTTGCTCCGTAGATAGAAAGCTGAGTGTGATGAACTGTATATACGGGTTAGAACAATTCGGTAGAGAAAAACTGGCGGCCCTAAACGGTGAGACGTGTTTTAGTGAATCAATAAGTAGTGTAAGCGAACCGCTGAACAGTAAAGATTCATGTAGCCAAATAATATTTCCAAATCAATAAAACAGCTCGGACTATTTGAGTATTGTAGTTTATAGGATTGGTGCTTACACAACGCGAATTATCGTGGATAGATGCTATACTGATTTGCTACACGGTCCACCAGGATGTTTTGGACGTATCAGACAAATGTCATTTGACTAAGACATATATCTGTCCGGAATAGCCAACTGTGTACAATAGTACTACGGAGAGCAGGCACTCATGCAGCAATTCTTGCGTAATCCAAGCATATCGATTGAATGACTGTGTAATAAAAAAAACTTGTTCCATTTGCACCGATACTCACCTTCCACATTCGCATACGATGTTTCCATAATTTATCAGCCATAAGCATATGGATAACAAACCGCGGTTCGCAAACAGAAAAAAACGCCGGTGACAAAACCAGTCAGAGGATGCATCGGACTCCCGCTAAAACGAAGAAGCTGCCATTCACACATGCACACATATAAAAGTTGTCGATGCACCAACCAGAACATTCCACAGCGCCCGGGATCAAGTTTCCGACAGTAGTGGATGACGAAAAAGACTTGAACGAAATGCCATACAATTTATCACTAAGTTGGCTATTAAGTTAGACTGAAAAAACATAAGAGAATTTGGGCTTTTTATACACATCACCAGACGAATACCACAAGAACGAGTAAGATCACTGGTATAAGATTCCCACAGCGAATTTCGGTCATAATTGATAAACCGTTTCGATGCTGCACGAATGTGTTCACATGGGTTTTGCAATACTCTATACGATGACCTGTGTGACGGTAAGCGAACGGACCTCGGAGTGAATCGAAAAATTCAAATATTCTAATCACATGACTAAATAACTCCGCTTGGTACGATGCAATATATCAATTCAAAAACTATGCGCGCATGACGAAGTGGTAATGAATCAGATGAGGATTGCCACACCACATCAAATTAGTATTCAGATAAACAACACCTCGATCATGTCACGTGTTAACTACCAGTCGTGGTACAACGGGTTAGACTGCGGAACTGAGCACTTGATGCGTAGAATCTCAAGTCATTTTCTATTTCGAGAGTCAGATGACACTCAATGCAGCCATTTTGACTCATCACAAACATGACAAATAAGGGAGGAGGGATGAGGTTGCTCGGGGATGAAAACGAGTGAATCTTGTGCGTATCTGACGTGATTTGGCAAACTTCACTCCACTTTGCTTTTCTTTTAAACAAAGAACATGATATCTGCGGCATGTATCTCAAACATATGAAAGTTTTGTTAAGTGAAAAATATCAGTGGAAACAGCTTGTGTCACAAAAATGCATCAGGAATAGATAAAATTCAAAACGTGCACTATTCTACATTATTCTTTTTTTTTGGGGGGGGGGGAGGGGATAACATACGAATTTCTATTTGTAGTTTACATTTATGGTAGGTGAGGTAGACGGTTCAAAGAACGAGCTCGACGCGTAACACATGTCACTGGACGACATTGTAAAGCTCTTTCACCTGGGTTAGGACCCGTTCACAGGGCAAATCGAAACCACTGATCATGCGCGGATCTTACATCTTTGGATTATTCAAGTCGCGTGGATCGCTATCACGGATATCCACTACAAGG